ACTCACAATTGAATGCAATCGTAGACATTCGCTTGCAATATATTTATTTCTCAGACACTGAAAACCTACACCAAGCATCGTAGGTGGCACCGAGCCTATTCACCGCAGCACGCTTACAGCTCCGCTCTAGTCAGGCGAGCCTCATAAAAAACCCAATATCTCGGGAACTACTGGACATTAGGGAACGCCCATTCTACCGGCAACTCTTCGATACCTACTTTATAACATATATATTTTTTAAAATCTTCTGCACCATGCCCTGATGATTTATTATTAATTTTTGAAATTGTTTATTGATTAATTCATTGTAAATTCGACTTCTTCAAGTCAAAATTTTTACACCGAAACTTACACCTGCTTTAAATAAAAAAGTTTTTTGCACTTCTTTGATGAAATAGATGTTTAGCGCATTGCAGTTCTGTTAAAAATCACTTACCTGGTGAACAGCCTGAAACTTTTGATTTCGCATAACTTAAAATTTTTTTTTTTCAATAATATTTTGAGCCATGCTTAGAACACTTCTACATCATATTCAATTTTCATCGAAATCGAAAAAAAGCGATTAAAATAGTATGGAGCGCCCCTAGTTGGACCGAATTTGCGAGGGTATCTGGAACACATGTGCAGTGAAAAGTTATAATCATGCAATGATCATAGAAGTCGCTTGTCGTTTTGACGCTCGTTATATTAAAGGTTGATATTTTGGATAGGCGCAATCGGCCGAGCAGTTTCGGAGATATTTAACCTTCTTTATAAATCTATTTCATTCAGAGGTGGAATATCTCCCTGTGGACAGTATGTAGCATGTGTTTACGCTTGCATGCCACGGATCCATTCGGAAACTTACTACCGATGGAATAAACAAAAAAAATCACTACCAGTCCCACAACGTAATCGGGAGCGATCGACCGACATCTGATTTTTCATTACTTTTTTTGGAAACACATACCCACTAGATGGATTCCATTAGAGAAAATCTTCGATTTCTCCAAAAACTAGAACAACAATGAAGGAGTTGATAGAATTTGTGTATTTATGAATTTTGCAAAAAAACTGCGCCAAGAAAAAGTTTTGTGGGGTCGTTTCTGGAAAGAAGAAACATTTTTTTCTGGAAACCACAATTCCCATAGAAATTTTGAAAAAAATGAACAAATAAAAATCAAAGCCAAGTCAAGAAATGTCCAATGGATCATGGAATGTACTATCAGATTATTATNACGATCATTTTCGTATGAATCGAATTGATTTTTTTCCGCACAACAGAAACTATTTTCAATCACTTCTGCTCTAAGAAAAAAAGGTATTTCTTTCCTACATTTATTTATAATTCATGCTCCGATTCGATTTGAGAATTTCATGAGAAAATCGAACGTGCAAATTACCCGCGTAAAATAACCTCAGAAATAAACTCGCCCACATGTTATTCACGGACTGAGTTGAAATCTAAATTAATCGAGGATAGGGGAAAAATTTCTATGCAATATACAGCGCTATATGACCTTGTTCATCAATTTTTCATTAATTTTTACAATAAGTCGATGGTGAGTCTAAAAAATGCAAATCAGTAGAATTAAAGAAGGAGAGAGAAAGAGTAATGCGCTATTCAAATCTCCCTCCTCTGCGCGTAAGGTTGGCGCGCACTGCTACCAACTTCGAAAACGAAATCTCACACTGCTCAGAGATAATGTGAAATGCGAGAATGTGGATATGATCGCGTTGCTATGCGCGTAATTTCCTTAATATTAAGTCGAAAAAGAAAATAGTGATATCAATGGAAAGCTCGTGGCCGATTTATGTGATGTAACTAAGGCTATTTTTTTCGTAGGCTATCACGTTTTCATTTTATTCAATAAATGTGTTTCGGTGGTAGTGGAGGGGGTAGTTTCTTCGTATATAGATACGCGGTGCGTTCGGCCTGATGTTTTGCTCAGTCGGTCAAAACTTTTCTTGGCCGATACGCTATCGCGTATCTCGATTTTGTGCACATTGGAGAAAAAAGGATTATAATTCGAATTATGTACGAAATAGGGCACAATTAATTCGATTCTAAGACTGATTTAATTGATGACTCAGTTAAATGAGATTGAAATCTCATCTGATTCATTTCACTTTTGATGTCACACGTTATGTGCCAGTCTGTTCTTTATTGACTTATTAAAACTTTTCTAACACGCTATCATGGGATATGACAAGAGTATGTACCATTCATTTTTGAATTTCGTTTCATCCTCAGAAATTCAAAAACCGCCAAATAGTCGACAGACATACAACAGACACCCAAGGCAACTCAGGATGACGTCCAAATGGGTAAAGATGATTGTTGGAGTGGATTACGATGTCATCGAGTTTCATGGAGACCGAACGCATCAGTATATCTATACCATTTTGAATATAGTATGTATCCCGAAGGAATTCTACTCTGCAAATAATTTTCCCTAATGAAATTACCTTTGGAACGTCTACTTGTAGGTCAGTACACTGTTCAAACAACTTTCGAAAACGATACCAATGAGAATGATTGTCTTGAAGCTGTTAATGCATCCTGAAGCCAGTCAGAGTCCAGTGAGTATTGCTTCATTGAAATTAACCCGGCGACAAAAAATTTTACCTCTCCTTTTCCACCCCATTTTTTCACCTGAGCAAACCCCACCTTTTGGTCGCTCGTGTCAAATTCACAAAAGTTTTCGAGAGAATTCATGAATGTTCATCAGAATATTATCTACAAAAATCAGTTTAGATGATTCGGAGAGATTCGTTTTTAACGCTCCTTACCTGTGTAGAAATCACCCCGCTCGAGCGCGGGTAATGAGCCGTATCCCAGCTAGAAATACGCCGCTCCGGCCCAACTTGGATACACTGCACGCGCCTCATATGCGCCCGCGTTTGATCCACGCCACGCGCTCACATTGTTAGACTATCGCTCGAAACGTCTCCCTAGGCTTTAGTTGAATGTTCACTGCTTAACCTTCATTTGATCTCTACTTACTCCATCCTAGTATACCTAACCTCAATAATAATTTGACAGGTCAGATGGCATCGCAATTTGATCGCACAATTAATCCAATAATTGTGAAGATATCATCCATTTTTATAATTTCTCTATCTCATATTCTTCGCACTGTTAGAAAATAATTGAAAGTTGAGTTCTTACACCATAAGTTGATGTTTGTTTCAGTAACTGTAAGGCTTATTAATTCCTCATCAATAAAATTCAAAGTTTCCATTGTTTCTTTTTTCGCTCGGAATGACACGACTGAATCGAAGTTGACTTCTGAGCCAGACGGGAATAATATAGAATATGAATGTACCGATCGAATACCGTCCCGAGGCGTCCGGGGAGGGGGTATCCAAGCATCATGGCGGCGCCCAGACCTGTTAACCACCTCGTATTTTTAAGCATTTATTAAAAATATTTATTCTCCTCAGACCACCCTCAACTTGTTTCATAACACTTTCGTGGTGCTAAGGATTTAGTAGTGATAACTTTTGAGCCTCGGAATTCACCAAACGAGGAGACTTTGTTAGGTTTTTTTGTCCTCCTGCCCTCTTAAGCACCCGCAGTATGGACAATTTGAACCCGAATTGCGCCATACTTCAGGGATTAAATTTCAGTAGATGAACAAATGCAGGAAACGGATTAATATTTCTCTTTGAGTGATAATTAAAAATATTTACCATTTCGCGGAAGAGGAACCAATTGAATTGACATGAAAATACTACCGCCGATTGCACCGTCCCTGGTGAAAAATAAAAAATTCTAGGTACAAGGAATAAATGATTGAACCATTTCATTCTCAATTTTGAGTTGCCACTGGAAGTCATAACTACACTCGAATTGAATGGAATCATTCTGCAAAATTCATATCAAATTATAGACATTTTTCAGTCGTTTTTACTTTGGATGATGTAACTTATTGTCTGTTTGATGGTTTAGTTTGAATTCAAAATTCAAGAAATAAAGCTATGAAGTCGGTCATTAACACTCGAACGTTGCCAAAAAACGCTAAGGAGGCGGCGTTACTAGTGCCCCCCATGAGATACACAGCTAGCGTATTATGTACTCGTTGGTATTATATTTCATGGAATGAAATATTACTCAAAAATCAATCTCTACACAGCTCGACACATGTCAATGTCACCACATAAAATTCTTTAGACTGAGGTTCTCAAAACTGTGTTTACATAACGTGGCAACCACATGGCGGGTGAATACGAATACTACAAACAAAACATAGAACAAAGGACAAAGAGAAAATGCGTCCCAAGTGGTCCAATGTACTAGTCCTTATTTTTCTGAAGTTAGTCCCCGACAGCCGGAGTTAGAGTAAAGATCGGGATGCGTCTTTTACGTGCGACTGAATAAAGTCACAGTTGAATTAAATTCGCAGAGTTATTAATTCAATCCTACCCATAAATCCAATAGTTAGTTTAAACATTATTTGTCTTCAAATTGGATTTACTAATCGGAAAAACCATTTGAAACCATACTCGACTCATCGGCGTTATCATTGTCCCTCACGTCTAATTTCTGGTTCTCAGCGCTTTGCAAACATACATGCATTGACCAAACGGTCACCATTGTTCGTCACTATCCAACATGGATAATTTCCTGACGGGGAGAAAAAAATGAAAAAAAGGGAGGGGGCCGTTTTAGCATACTCGGAAATTTTTTTTCAAGAAAAGAGGCTGGGTTACCCCACTGGTTAATTTTTTCCAAGACGGGCCCCTCTTTCCCGCAGGGTCCCTTTTACCCCATCTCCTCCTATTTTTCTAAAAAATAATACTTTGCGTTTCCAGGAATAATCAAACGAAATTTTTCCGGGGAAAGTTTTTTTACAAAAACATTGCTTTTCGGTTCTTGGGGGAGATTTCAATCATCAGAGTTGAGATGTTTAAATATGAAAAACTTTCAGATATACGCAAATGGCACCAAATACCCATTGTACAATGTAAACAATTGGAATCGTGGTGTCTGGGAAGATGCTCGTGAGAAACACGACATGGCCATATGGATAACCCAGTTCGAAATACCTGAGTCGGTGAGGACAGTGCCAGGTGCTTACATGTGTGACTATCAATGGCACTGCCTTCTGGTTGAGGATGCTGGCTGGTTTTCCTCAATTAAAATTGCTCATGCGATCGGCCACCTGGTCGGACTCACTCACGACGGCGATATCAAGATGAAAAATAACTGTGCATCGGAGAGTCTTCTTCGTACAACCATTATGTCACCTGAGATACCCACAATCATACCCATACCGGTTTGGTCTTCCTGCTCCGTGCAAGAATTCCACGTCAATATCATGTAAATTACTCTGAGCGCAAACGCATTCATTACTGAAGTGGTTAAAAATCGGGAAATCCAGGTGGGAATTAACCATCGGCTCAAGGATAATTAAAGCTTGGATCAAGACTAGCTTAGATTGGTTCAAGCTTGGTTTCCATGTTTTGACGAAGTCTAGCCTAGCTTAATTCAATCTCGGATTACCAAGCTTGGATCAATCATGGATACTCCTTGGTTTCTAACATTAGTTCAAGCTTGGGCGCCAAGTTACTTCCAGGCTTTTCCATTTTAATATTTCTAATAGAAAGCCTGTGATAGCTCCCGCTTGGACCAAGCGCCGAAGCTTACGGTCAAAATAATAGTGAAAAATAATTCAATAACATGTATTCCATTATTTTCATGATGGATAATTGCGCAGTTATCAATCCTCAATGCTATTATCAATTATAAGTTTTACTTCATTATCGCTATGCCCAAGTGGAAATTCCGCTCAGAACACCTGAAGTCGGATCAGAAATGGATCCGTGTGTAGTGAGGTTCGACTGATCAGGTGAAACCTGATGAAAAACTGATCCAGTGTTCCTGAGGTCAGGCAACCTGAAATTACTTTGATCAGATTCGAATCTGGTCACCCTAATTTCAATTTGAGCAGAATATCTTAAGATGTCTCAATCCGAGCACGCGGTTAGGCGCTCTAAGTGACCGATCATCATAAGGGTCAGCTGTTTCAAAACTCAAAAGACTTGAGAATCAGGAATCATAAGGGTCTAACGTAAAAGGGAAGTGGGCGCAGGAGGAAAACGATAATTGGCGAGGATAGTTGGGGAGGGAGGGGGCGATAGTTGGATTTATTGTCAGCAATAGTGGAGAAATAATATTTGAAGATAATACATGCAAACGAATGTTATATTGACACTGCAAGATCAGCGCGGTAGTCTAATGGTTACGGCGTAAGTTTAGTAATCGTAGGATCTCAGATTCGATACACAGTTATGGGCGGAATAATTTGCGATGACCAAATATTTTTAACAAAAGCTTTTTGTGCGATTAATGCATTGCGAGGTGACCAATAAAGTCACAAATGATAGTAAAATTAATTTTTGAAAATTTAATCATCATTGCTTGTTAATGATTATTAGTGATGAAAGTGGACGAGTTTCTGAGATCCGGATCCATCGCGCTTGATCAGTTTCGGATTGGGCAGGCCTGATCAAATTTGGATCTAAAACGTCATTATATCTTTGATCAGGACCTATCAATTCACATCATCAGAATCTGATCTGACGTCAGGGCTGACGTGATTATATCCTGATCCAGATCTGATCGAGATTTCCACTCGGATAATTATTCCAACGAGTCTTGAATCCCCAATGATCAGTATAAATTCTACACCGTATTATTGTAAATTTTACATCGTATTCACAAAAGTACCGCGCAAACTACTGAAGCCACAAACATGAAATTTTGAAGTGGGTTCATACTTGGCAGATTTTTGGAAATGCATCCGGGAAGGGGATGGAATGGGTGCATATTTTTTCATACGAATCCGGAAATCGTCGAAGCCACAGGCGTAAAAGTTCATATGCGGACTCTACATTTGACATTAACGAACACGTGTTTTTTTTATTAACCCCTAAGGGAGTGCACTGTGAAAAGTTCTAGAAGTGTCCGTAACTTTCTCGACAATTTCGGAATTTTCTAGAAAATAATGGAATGTTCCTCACAGAAATCGTATTTGTCGTTACTAGACCGGAAGAAACTTTTCTGACGAATAAGAGTTTGCAATCGGAGTCGAAGGCGAGGCCGGGCACGCTGGGCGCACCAGCTAGTTATAACTAATTATCGGATAGGGAATACCGAAAATAGAAATAATAATAAATGTATATTATTTAGTTTATTTATAACGTAATTTGTCATAAGAGCTTGTGACTGGCCATCGCCCAAGGGCCTTCAGCCTGGTATTTACATATTATATACAGCGTTTTGATTTTAGAGTGAAGAATGTATAATTTTCGAAGTATTTCAATGCCTAATTATTTATCAAAACAATACGAATTATTTTTGCTAACAATTGTAATGTTTGAATTTTTTTTTTAATGAATACCGTAAAAAAATTATTTTCTGAATAACGCGTCGCGTGTACCCTTCAATAGTCAAAATTGCAAACGCAGTGGTAATTGCACCGTCTTTTCGGCTGTTAAATTAAGTTCTTTAAAAATAATCTTTAGTCTCGCCTACGTTTTTCTATCCTACGTTTTTCCAAAATTAAATAATTACGCCGATCTTCGTAGATTCCTTTTCCATTCTTTGTTCCACTCATAAATCGTGGAGTTTCCTACGTCCTATAGAATCAAATGAAAATTACAGAACATTTAAAATTACAAAAAAGGTCAGAAAAACGATAAAGATAACTGTCGAAAGATAATCACCTGACAACTCACGGAGAATGATTTACCACTTGAGTATTTTCTCATGATTCAATAAAAGTTTTGTTTTTGGGAGGTTCCCCATTTGTTGTTTTTTTCTTTGTTTTAGGAGATATCATTGCTTGGAGAGACCCCCGATACACTTGCAAAACAGTGCTTTTATGTCAGGAGTTTTCTCATTGGACGAGCAATGCAGAATTGAATTTGGTGATGGGTAAATTATTATTTTATTCCCCTAAAACCATGATTCTTAAAAGTTCTTTATTACCCTTTTGGCCTACACATCCAATCACTTACGCATTGCACTTGCTTCTTATTCAAATAGGCACCCAGGCTACGCTAGCTACCAAGGTTATCAAATAATATAATTGTTCATAAAATTAGGTGGATATTCTGCAGTAGGATTCTAGTGAAAGACCCTTGCAAGGAATTATGGTGTAACCGAGCCACCGGGAGTCGTCGCAGTTGCATGACCCGCCAGACGCCAACCCTGGAGGGCACCGCGTGTGGTCGAGGCAAGGTATAAAACTCAATGAAACATCTTATTTTTCATTTTGAATGAAGATATTCGCTCGTCAAGAAAAGGACTGATTCAAGTCAACGTGAATTTGACCCTTGCCGATTTTCAAGGTATTTTAAGTTGACTGACTCGGATTCCACGAATCCGGATTCCGAAATTGATATCAATAGAAGAGTGAATTATTTCAAGGAGAAGTTTCAAGTCGATATCCACTCAATTCAGCCCAAACGATCGGATTGATTCAAGCCGATAGTCTTAATTCAAACTTAACAAATGGTTTAAACGAACGGATCCAAGAATTGACATGAATCAAGTCGAAGAATCGACTTGAGTCAAGTGGAAAAATCGTACTCCAAACGTAGTGGAAAGTAGCAGGGAAGTCGTGTTGGAGGCTAGGAAAGTCCTTGCTTCAGACCAACGATGAGAAGAACGCACAGTTTGAATTACGGTTAATCAAGTCAAGCAGTTAAATCAAGTAAAACCCGCCCTGAATCAAATCGAAGATTGAATTTAGATTCAGTTCAAGACTTAACTTGCATCAAGTCGAAGAATCGATGTTCCGGGATGCATCTCTCCAAGTGAGATTTGATTCACACCATCGATCACGGCGTGAAATAAGTCGATTTCCGAGATGATTCAGTTTGACTTGATTCAAACCGTTTCTTCGACTTGATTCAGCACGATCTTTTTTTTTGGTTTCCAGAGGTGCATAAACCATACGTGTGAGGACGCAAAAAGGCCTATTCTGGAGACGACTACTATTATGCCACTAACTGAAGAGTCATCGACCCCAGAGCCTACTACTACTACTACCACTACCACCACCACTACTACTACTACCACCACCACATTTCGACCATTTGAACCGACGTTACCCACGAACAGTCCTCACCCCGCGCTATACAATACACCTTCTTATTTTGACGAAAATGATATGAATCATTATCCAGTATAATAATGAATCTAGTAATTAATTATGGTATAGTTAGTTCGGAAATATCATGTGAATAAAGAAATTTGGGAAAAATTCCTGAAAACATTTCTTGTAAAACACTTGGTATCATTGAACTGATATTCTCCTCTGAAACTGCTAGTTTCCAAAATATTTCACAAAATAAACTGGATGGATTCTCATATTTTAATTCAGATGAATGAAAATGAAAAGCAATCTTCCATGAATATTTTGGGAATTATCAAGTTCAGAGTAAATATGTTCAAAAACCATTGTTGTTAACAATTTCATTCTTTTCAAGAAAAGTTCCTTGAATTTCACTTCAAGTCTACTAATCCTTAAGTTATTAGCAGAATAAACCATTAAACAGAATTATGAATTCAATCAGAAATTCTCATCGTTACCTGCTTAAAAAAGACCTAGACAAAAACAATGGCATATCAATAGAATTTTTGTAAAAAAAAATCATGAAAAACTATGAATTTATTGGATTATTTGGCGTCTTCAATTGTAGAGGTTAGAATTTTCGGCGTCTTCTAGTAGGTAAATTATCAATTTGAAATTAACTCTCACAAGAGCCCATATATAATTTGTTCATTTTCCATGATTGAAATAATTGTAACAAATTTCTCTTAATCATCTGAAAATAAGCATACAGCCCATGCATAATTTTGTTAATTTTCCATTGTCAAAACGATCGCAAGGAATTTCTCGTAATCATTTTAAAAATAGCATATAACCGACGGTAGTGGCCGTGCGGTTAGAGTGCTAGACTCGTATGCCAATGATCCGGGTTCGCTTCCCGGCACCGGCGGTCAAAATTTATAGCGCTATAATCTCACAGTTTCACTGCCGAGTGGTAGTCCCGTCAAAAAGGACGACTGTACCAGGGCAGGTTTTTCCCTCGAATGAGGTTTTCCCCTCGAATGAGGTTTTCCCTCCCTTCGGCAAATGCGGTACAGGGGGTTGAGGGGGGTGGGAAGGGAACAAATCGTAAAGACCCGAAAGGGTATATGAGAAGAAAAAAAAGAAAAAAAAATTAGCATATAGCATCCCCTCTTCATAACATGTACGGCCGTAGTGTGGCCCGAATAGTAATTGATTAGGAAAATGTCATATTCCATTGTGGATGCTCTCCTCCACTTTACCCATATTTTCGGTTTCATCGCATCAAAAGTTTCCAGAATTGAAAAAAAACCATTTTCAAAAAATGAATAAACATTCTCGGGAAAAATGTACAACAGGGTCCACTACCCATTAAAGGAGGGGATCGGGACTGAATCACCAATTGTGATTTTATAACTCTTTGGTACATCTCATACATTGATATAGGTGGTCAGGTAGATATCCGGAGTCACCCATTTTACCACCTTCCTTCTAAAGGCAATTAACGTTTACGTTAAATTAAATATAGTTTTTTCTATAAATTTACGAGCATCCGGTGTGGCATAACAATTCGAACCCTACTAGCTCGTAGCGTTAGCAAGGATCCACGACGGGCATCCCAAAAATATTGGTGGTAGAGGATCCCAAAAAACCCAATAATTTAAAATAATAAGGCTAAAAACGATAGATTTGGATTGTCGGCGCTTTCCTCCACATTACCCACATTCTCAGTCGCACCGCAGTACCCAGTTTTTCTCGGCATTTATCCACTTACCGTGGAGGCACCAGTACCCGACCGTGTCAGAATTTTCCAGTAATAAAATGTATTTTTCTCATTATTCAGATGTAGAATCGCCAAAAAAATTAATTCTTTGTAAACTTCAATATTATTTGTGTAGACGAAAATCAATTTGAAATAAAATTCATGCACCTGTGAATAATAGTAAAAGAAAATTGACGAGTCGGTCAAACCGTCACTACTCGAACGGTAAAATGACTCTTGAATCAGTATCCGAACGACTAAAGGCCCTAAACCCGAACGGTGCAGTTTCTTGTGTTCGTACACCTCGCTAAATGATTCTTCAACGTGTCGAGATACTTCAAGTCGTTATTCAATTAATTATATATATAATTGTTATATTTGTCTCATAAAGGGTCGTCTTTGGTATTTGATATGTCTGCTCATTGCTCCTAAACTTTGCCCAGTCTTCAGAGCAGCCAGTGCTTCCTTCAACTCGTGTGCACTTTAATTTTGCTCCTTTCTCTTTTTCAATCTTCCCCTGTGATAGATCAATCATTAAATAATAAATTTAATCGTCGGAACAATATTTGGATGATGAAAAGGATGATAAGGTGCAGGAAAATTTGTTTGATAGGTGAGGTTAAGTGGACCGTTAGTGGAGTATACCGACGTTCGAGTTTTAAATGCGTCAGGACCCGAACACCGATTTTTCTACGATTTCGCGAATTTCTTTCCCTATTTTTGTATTTCAATCAATTAATCGACCCTTTTCTTCTCCGTAAATAATGATTTTATTTAGTTGTTGCCTACACTTTCCGTTTGACACACGCTACACCGACCAGCGTCTCTAACCAACTCGGTTAAAAGATGGCGTCCGAAGGTGTCGTGTCAGTGCAGTCCGTCACAAAATTAAAATTATAAAAAGATTCCTATTTTAAATCTGAAAAATCGAACAGATTATAATTTTTATTTCTACCACAATTTAATTGAGAGTAAAAATAGAGGAAAACTGTATAAAAGTTTAGAGATAAGTCATAATTGGTAGTTTGCGTCCGGGTACTCGTTCCTGTACTCCTACTTTCACGGTACTTTTTCCAATCCTCTTATCGGACTCCAAAAGTAATAAACAGAATTACTTCACAAAATCAAAGACACAAATAGCCCTCACTAGTTTTTGAATCCCATCCCGCATTCCTCAGTAGCTTCCGCAATCTTTAAATTACTGGAATGCACAATGCCCGACACTCATGTCCCACCATCTCACTCTTCCTCCAATTCTTCATTTTTTCCCCTCGCGTACCACAGTATTCGCATTTGCAGCGCGAATTGAATTCGTTCACCATGTGCTGGCCAGTTGGTGTTACGATGAGAGCGTCGACGCACCAATTAACCAGTTCTTCGTTAGTTTCTGGTGGGTCAGACGCAGAATTTTCATTAGTGTATTTAATAATACAATTTAATTAAAAAATTTATTATGATTTTAATTTCGTAATTCTCCAATAATGAAATTCAATAATTGAACCATTAATTAACTAATTAATTCATCAGTCAAATAATTTGGAACCTATAAGAGAAAGAGAGTAAATGAATACAAAAATGATGAAAAAATTAATTTACCCATTAATAGTTTTGTGAGTCTGAAATTTTGAATTAATCAATAATTTGAAGTTCTTAGTGTATTATTATTCTCATAAATTAGAAAAATAAAAAAATAGACTTGATCAATAATTGAAGTGTATTAATTAATTGGAAAAGTCGTGGATTAATGAACTTCGAGCTACTGAAAACATTATATTAAAAGACTAGTCTTTCTTCATTGGAGTTTGATGGAAGACAGACGAAATTGGCATTAGTGCATTTAAATTGATATTTTAATTTTCATTTTGACATAAATACAAAATTTAATAATGAATCCAATTTCATAATATTTATTCCGATAGTAAAATTGCATAAGATTAATTAGCTAATCGATTGATTGACTAATGCATTTATCAGTTTATACACGTGTACGGCAATGAAAATAAATAAATAAAAATTATGAACGAAGTGATTATTTAAATAAAAGTCATGAAAAAATGAGTGAATTACCAAAATTTTCAATAACATTCACAACCGTAATTATCTTAATCACTCTAAATGCAATTGAATTCTCTGACAGTCGCTATCAAATAATAAATCACGGCCCAATCAATCCAAAAATCATCTCCCTGCCAAGAAATCGTAGAAGTCTCCCAGATGAATCATCAATAATCTTCTCTTTGGGAAACTGGACATTGGAAAATCAATTAAGAAATTCTGTGATATTTCCTGATGACGCAGAGATCAATTACATCAACTCAGCAGTTACGAAATCATCAAAAAGTACTCGAATTAGTTGTAAAAATTTCCGAGGCCAAGTTCAAAAAATAAAAAAATCGTCGACAATCGTCACGATTTGTGATAATGATTTTTACGTTGTTTTCAATATTGGTAATAGAAATTTTGTGGTGGAGCCGGGGCAGAATGGGGAACATTCTCTCGGAGAAATAAAATTCGTGGGAGTTCGGGAGAGAAGGGAGGTGGAGGGATTTTGGAATTTAACTGGAGACACTTTTGAGATTAATGAGAGTGGAAATGTCGAGGACATTTACGAGAGCAATGGAGAGAATTTCTTCGCCGCTCGCACGTGGACGAGAACCAACGGTTCAAGTAAGTGGTAATGGATATTCATGTTTGTTTTTAGGTGGGAACTAGAAGGATCTGGGACGATGAAGTGGTTTTCAAGTTTTGATGAAGTCGAGAGCCTTACAGGGGTAAATGAATTATGAGGAGGAGGAAGAGAAACGGGAACGTGAAGAAAGTTAGGGTATTGACGAATTTTTAATCGTGTGAACGGAGCAGAAAAAATATAAAATATAAAATCGTGGATTATCCTGATAATCAATTCCTCTTCTTACGTTTGGATATCGAGATTTCGGCGATGATCATTTGTATGAAATAGCATCAAGGAAGCAAAGTCTTTGCAAACGTAAAATAACTCTATTTCACGCCAATTTTTATAATTAAACGACGAGAAATTATTAAATTCATATGGATTTTCAAGATCTTCCTTTAGTTTCTTGAACTCTGACGTTAATTTTAGCCCTACTTCCACTTTTATTTTACCTCTTAAGTTACACTGAGGGAACAATTAGTTTTGTAGAAAAATTATATGTTCTACGGAAAAGATCTTTTGTCGTGTTGAGTCAATTTAGTTGTTGATAATTTCCTTTTAAGTAATTGTTCTTGTAAGATATCGATACGACTTTCGGGTAACTATATTAGTTCTGCTAAGAATCCTATGAGACTCCGGGTTGATGAAGTGAATGGTATTCCGTACACTAAGAAAAAAAATTGCTTTTGACAAGTATATTTACTTGCCACAAGTAAATGTATATGTATATGGCGTCAAAACCCTCACCATCGCCAATCATATTGCCGATTTTTCCTGTGGTTGTATATGGAAAAATATGACTTCTCAATTTTTTTCGGATATTTTGAGGTATCCTGCGAGCAGCCGTTTTTTTGCAAGTTTTATCTTCAAATGCCTGTAACTTCCGTAAAAATCAACCGATTTGATTTTTTTTTACAAAATGTGCGTCTTCGAACACACTCCAGATAAAAATATGCCAATTTTTTTCAATTCGTTCTTCCATCGATTTCCTCAGAAAAACCTCAAGAAACTTGAAAAAATGAGTCGTTTTCAAAGTTGAACCATTTTTATATTTTTCAAAAAATTTCAGGGAATATATTGGACCAAAATAAAATTTTTCACCAAAGGCCAAAGTGGTATCTCTATTAGAACACACCACTCGGAAAGGTTGATTGTTAACGAATTTGCAAAAAATCATCAAATTGTTCCAGATTCGAATATAATGTGATTCTTCAGGCGGTAAATTCAAATAATGCTTCTGCGTTCAAATGCGAAAAGAATTTTGAAATTTTTGAAATCTTTCATCCCGGATTCATATATTCAAATTGGAAATGACGGCCACGAAATGGGAAGCCCACTTCGGCCTTTGGGGAAAAATTTTTTTTTGGTCCAATATATTCATTGAAATTTTTTGAAAAATATAAAAAGGGTCCAACTTTGAAAACGACTCGTTTTTTGAAATTTTTTGAGGTTTTTCTGAGGAAATCGATGGAAGAACGAATTGAAAAAAATTGCCATATTTCTATATGGAAAGTGTGTTCGAAGACGCACATTTTGTAAAAAAAAAACTCAAATCGGTTGATTTTTATGGAAGTTACAGGCATTTGAAGATAATAGCTGTCCGCAGGATGCCTCACAAAATCTGAAAAAATTTGAGAAGTTATATTTTTCCATATACAACCACAGGAAAAATCGGCAATATGATTGGCCATGGTGAGGGTTTTGACTTGGGTGAGTTCAAATGGAATACCACATATAAATATTTGCATAAAGACATGTCAATGCCAAGTAAATTTTCTTGGAGTTAGTAAATATACTTGGCAAAAGCAATTTTTTTTCTCAGTGTAGTGGATATATTTTTCCGATAAACATTTACATAGCCTAGGAGAATGGGTGGAACAGGAATTTTTCTAAAAAATGCACTTTAACATGGGCTCTTATAAAAATTCGAAAAAAAATATTAAAACTGAAAATTTTTTAAAAATGGAGCATAAAAAAAAGTAATCCAAGTGGCCTAAGAGAATTGCTTAGAAGGGATAATTTAAAAACTCATGAAAAATAAGAATTTTGCTTGCGCAACTTGGACTAGCGACAACGGCGAGGTTAGAAAACGTGGAGGAGTAAGCGCGGCAAATACGAATGGAGTTGTGATGATACATTTAGCTACGGGCAGGAACATAACAGCTGAGTGTTGCTACGGGCAGGAACATAACAGATGAGTGTGAGTGAATCAGTGCTGTCAACTTGTATCTCGAACGGCATTACGTTGTCACTGTTTCTATCCATATTAATAATTATTTTCCAATTATCCAAAAGCCAAGCTGGAAAAATAAAAGAAGGCTTGAAATATGTGAGAAAAAAATTGAAAAGTTATTTAAAAAATGTTTGGAGCACAAAACTGGTTGAAATAGATTGAAAATTTGTAATTGAAATATGGTTTTTTCTTTGTTCAGCGATTGGTTTTCTGCGAGAGAACAATAGATCCCCTCCGTCTCATCTCCTACATGCCCACCTCACGAGAAATACCTTAATTTCCCTCAAGTGAACCTGTTCCTGTTCATCAAATACTCTCACGTGGAGCATATAATTCAACGTCAGAATTCATTTTCTCTATTAGGGTGTGTAGCTATTGCTTGAAGATGGTAAAACCTACAAAATTTGACCGGAAATTAGCTCTTCGTAGAGGAATGGTCTCGGATCCAATGAAAATGAGCGCCGTGAACAAAAACCATGACGAATCACTCGATAGGGCCTTCGAGTTGTTCACTCTGTCAAGTGTTAGTCGATCATAGTTCCATTGATCAACCAACTATCGACTAGCAATCGACCCAAAATTGACGATCGACCGTCGATCGACTAACCATCGACTAGTGATCAACCAACGGTCGACTGATCATCGACCGAGGGAACAAGTCAATCTCCTGTTGAGTGTCAAGGGTCTCAATCCAAGCACGGCGTCAGCCGCATCAAGGGTCAGACGTCTTGACGGTCAAACGTAGCAAGGACCTGGCGTTTTAAGGTTCACAAGGGTCAGATTATTACGGCCTGCAGTCGTAAGGGTTAGATCTTTCAAGGGTAGAAAGACGTAAGGGCCGCACATTTAAGGGGTCAAGCGTCTCATAGGTTTAACATTGCAAAACTCAAATACCTTGTTTGAAGGGTCAGACAATAGAAGGATCAGATGTTTCAAAGATTAAGATCAAGATCAAGAGAAAATCAGGGGAGGGATATTGGCTGCTAAGCGGTGCAGGCATTGCCTCCCCTATTGGGTTTATCTTAGAACGTCAAATAAACATTTATGTAAAGCATAAAATTCTCTACACGAAATATATTTCAACACTTTCTGTTAAACCCAATAGTTTTCAAGATATTTACAATATAATCAATGAAAGTTGTCTATTTTTCCCCCTATTTTCGCTTTCGTTGGCAGAATCATCCTGTAATTGTTTGTTGATGACGAAAGATTCAATTCCAAGGTCGACTAAATGGAGCTTCAATTCGCGAACTATCCCAGCGATGGTTGGAGCTGGGGATTGCAGTTGATTATTCAGTGGTGGAGTTTCATGGGGACAGGGTAGAGCAGTATGTGCTTGCACTACTCAACATCGTGAGTATGTAGATTTAATTGCGCGGTTAAACAGAATTGGGGTGAATCAAAACTGCGGAGTAATCGCAATCATTCCATCCGTGGGAAATCCAATTATCTGCAACATTGAGATGATCAAATAATCGTGAATCATCACTCTATTTACAATTTTCATGTCCAGAAAGAATAAATACTCGTAGAGTGTAACTGAATCCTTATTCTTATTCTTTTTTGAATTATTGTTTTTTTTTATGATAATATTGCCTACAAAATTTTAATCGTGAAAAGGTAATTAATTTTTTTTTATTACGTATTATTGACATTTTGAGAAAGGGTGATTCCCGCACTCAGGCACTAACAGGTAACTAACATTTCGATAGCATTAGAGGGTTTATCATGAGGTAGATTAAAAATCGGATAATCAAATCATTGAAGATGTTTTTACGCTGGAAGATTTATGAACTTCATTTCACCTTGAAATTGAGCTCGAGAAATACTGAAGTGTCACAACGTTTTGTAACTTCAATCTGTCGATAAGTGATTCGGACATTTGATTGGAATGGTGAATTCATTATACAATCGTTGATCCAAGTAAGAATTTATTATGTATTTTATCTATGGAACCCGTGATAATTTTATAATTTTTCGGTTTCAGGTTGGAGCAATTTATGGAGACCCTTCTTTGGGGACTGATTTATCTTTAGTCGTTGTGAAGATTTTCATTTATATGAACAAAAAAGATGGAATGGTACGGTATTGTTCCTTCGTAGACAATTATTTTACATTACAGAACCGAAATAAATAATGTCATCAACGAAAATCAATTTTTTCGCTGAAATAATGAAAGGTATTATCTGTGGCAATTATTTGGTCTGCTAGATACGCCAAGGAAATGCCCGTACATCCCTCGAAAACGTAAACAGATGGAACCGAAAGGTCTTATCGTCATTGCAGACCCAGGGTCACGATGTTGCTGTATGGCTGACGCGATTGGACATAGGTGGCCCATCGGGGTACGCCCCAGTATCTGGTGCTTGTGACCCTGCGCGATCCTGTGCCCTCAACCGTGATGAGGGTTTGACGAGTGCCTTCATTATCGCCCATGAACTTGCTCACATGTAAGTCATGGATATAAAAGGGGGATTCCCTGCTCTATTTGCGATGTTAGATTAGTGCGTGGCGACGCTCAGGACTCACAAAATCGCCGACGCAAAACTTTCCAATTCAATATTTTTAGTCCACGTACGAAAAATTTAATAGGAAAACTTGACGAATTTTCTAGGAAATTCTATTGGATTTTTATTAATTTTTAGCCGATTGAAAAATTCCGCAGCCAATCTGCATGATTTTCTTTCAACAGAAATGTTCAATATTCAGTAGTAACACACCGAGTTCTTCAAAATTCGTATTTTCCGATAGCTTAGGTGTGAGTAAGTGAAAAACAAGTTTTACACGTTAAAACATTCCGAGCGCTTGCGCGAAGGATTTTCCTGCAACACTTGATACGATGGTTTATTTATAGGAAAGCTTGAGGGAAGTACCAGATGATTTTTAATATCGAGAGCTAGAGAGCCAATTCTATTGACTGAAATTTGGATAAGAAAAATTCACGATATAAAATTTCTCTCAGGTCATCACGTGACGCCCAATACTGTATTCTGATTGGTCGCAATCCGTTCTCAGAGAATAATCTATTCAAAAATCAGTGGAATTAAATTGTTCTATACAACTTATTTTATTTAGATAATTTCTGCAGCGCTTTCTCGGCTCAGAATTTCAAACGTTTTTGTTTCTCTCGTCTAATGAAAAGAAAAGAAAAATAAAGTGGAAAGAAACGTAGGAATCTATCGTTTAGAGAATTGTATGAAAAATGTAATTAGAAAAAGAAAACTGAAATTCTACTCATTTTCTTTACAAAATAATTTCTATTGGATATTTTCTGCTAAAAAAACGCACAGTGAAGCTGCGGAATGCTTCAATAGAATCGGGCAAAAATTAATGAAATTTCTTTAGAAATCCAATAAAATTTTCTATCAGACAGATCTTTCCGAGTCTGGGGCAAGGGGTCTGGGGTATCATTGGCTGGTCAAAGGCTCCTGCGAGTGAATGCTGGGTGATTAATTATCAGAGAGGGGTTAATTAATCAATCAACTGATAAGTAGGATTAATTAATTAATTAATTAATTAACGACTTGAAAGCTGGGAATTTGATACTTCCATGGTCGTACATCACTCAACCTAAAATTCATTCTAACCATTATTCCAACTTACCATTCATTAGTGGCCCGGTGGCTTGGCGCAGTGGGTAAGTTGGTTGCCTCACATGCGAAAGGTTCCGAGTTCAAATCCCGGCCGGGTAGAATGGTGCGATCTAACCATTTAAAGTCTTGATCACCATCGCAGTATACCCTAACCGGGTCGAAGCGATGTACAATAACGATAAAAAAAATTCATTAATGGATTAATTGATTAATTTATGAATAAATAAATTAATTGATTAACTAACCAATTATCAATTACATAATTTATGCGTGGATAAGAGACTTGTAGTATTGAAGGGTGAGTCAATGTGACCTAGTGTGCCTTTCCGGGTGAGGGAAAAACAGAAGATTCATTCTATTGACTTTTTTGGTAGGGAGAAGAAGTTCTCCGTTGAGATTCATCTCATTCCCCGAATTTCATTTTAAGGGAGAAAACCACATGTGGTCGCAGCAGGAGGTTAAGCACAAAGACCATAAACTAAAAGATGTCACTTTTGATGAATACCAGGAAAAGTTGAAACCACCCATCATAATGGGTGGTCTAGGAGAAAGGACTAGAAGTAGGCCTATTGTCTATGTTTGTCCTTAAGATTTGCGACATGTTATTCATGAAATTTTATTTTTAAAATCTATTATTATTATTTTAATGGGCGTAGAACCGCAAAAGCCTTTTATATGCACGTTATCAACCCGTTGCTATGCACGTATCTTTTTTACTGTTGATCCTCTGACGAAAGGGCTCTCGGATACACACAATGCCAAAGCACGCTTGCCCCTACCTCCTCACCCGTTCACACCGATAGAGATTGTTAGGACTTTTTCATCAGAGGGTTAAACCAAAAAATACAATAGTTTAGCTGTTGAAAAACTTATAGACGATTTATATAATGTAACTAACGACACGATGAAAATCATTGAGAGGTGGTGAAGGAGGATGTTCGGCCGGAGATGTTCGACAATTTAGGTCAAAACGTTTTTTTGGTCGATACGCTACCCCAGATCTCTGTCTACATTAGGATGAGTCGTCATTAATAGTCAAAGCATTGCAATATTACCTTGTGGGAGGAAAAACCTGTAATAGGCGATTCGTCAATAGTCTGGAGTTCAAGAGCACTTTTAATGGTTGGAACGATACGCAAAAACCTTGGCGGGTGAAAACCTATATGAATCAAGCCAAAGGCAAATTTATCAGTCCAACGGATTTCTTCCACAAGACAATATCGTTGTCACAGTTCTAAACTTTCTAGTCCTGGTAGCATCATTCTGTCACACTATGGATTTTGTGAATACGAAATTCCAAATTCTAATAGGACTGCATGTGAATGGACATCTGAGTGAAAGCTAGCAACACACATTGACTTGAGAAAATCCATCTCTCAGAGATAAATCATCACACGAGATGAACTAGAACATGCGAATCAGATATGTAAATATTATGCAGAGGTTATTACATGCGCGACAGTACCCCAATTAGAAATTTCATCGAGTTGAAATGAAGTCGCGACAGGTTATGTCAGAAGGGAATGTCGGGTCTTTATAAAATGAACCCGCTCTGGCCCCTATTGCAACGTCACGTAGCTACTCACCCCGCATTTCATATACATCTTCATGAAAATAGACGGTGGTATTTTGGATAATCATGACCACCATTAACAATTCATGAATGATTAATTAGATGGTTCCGGTCATTCCTTAAAAATATCGAAGTATTTTGACCATTTTTTCCTGCCGAAGTCTCTTTCTGCATTCTGGAAATCCAATATCGGTGTTTCCATTTAACCTCATGTGACCCTAGGTCTTCGGAAATTTTGCATAAATTTCTCAAGTCGACAAAGACTGCAAGGAGTTAAAATGCAGGTTCCAAGACCTGCTTCCCCGCAGTCGATTTGAGGACATTTCATCGATGGTTCAAGAGAAATTTGAAACGAAGTTTAATTAAATGAAGATCAAGAACAAGAACAGACTACAGACGCTTTTGAGTGACACGGAGACGGTGAATGTGTTGACATATCAGGACACAACTATCTTCAATTTCACGCGAGTTACTCTACCTGAGAGTGTCGAGCGTGTTCTTTATCTCGAACCTAAGTTTGGACTGAACACGAGGAATGAGGGGATCCCAATTCCGAAACTAGTGAATTGAAATTTAATGGATTATGAGGATATGATAGATTTGCCACATTCGTTTATAAGTACAATCGTCGCATTCGATATTTATCGCGTTTGGGACAATTTAGCTGATGCTATGAAAGCTGATTGGTACATCAAAAGATGCAGACCTCATTTGGAACATTATCAGTTCACCATGGATGATACCTTGAATGGCTCACCCCCAATGATAAGAGATTACGTGAAATGTAATAATGCTCGAAAGAAAAAATTCTTACAAAATTAGTGTTTATTCACTTATTTCTAAAACTATCTCAGTGTAACTTTTTTTTCAGTGAGAAATTTTCATGGGTAAGAAAAAAAAGAATTAAAAGGGAAGAGTTGTTTATTTATTTGTGTGTTTCGTTGTCAACTAGTTTTATGATGTTGGTTTTGGAAATCAACTTTCCATTTTAGCCTTTTGGAAATCTGAGCACAACACTTGCTCTTGACGTATGGAGTCTGTCTTCAAAGTTTGTTGTCGTTCTGTGGAGGAGCTCTTCATGAGTAGCGGAAAAAGCAAACTGATTCGCTGTTTTTGACCCTGAAAGGTTATAAAGGCAACAATCTTTTTATTTATCACACGACTTTGGGTTGTTTTTAACACGATTATTTTCTTCCTCCTCACATTCCTATGAGAGGTCTATTGGAGATTGCTATTAATTCGAAGTGAGAAGGTGATGCTTTCATAATTCAGGCAGCACCAGACTGAGTTTACCCTGGATTATGACGCCCAAGGGTGTGGGATGAGGGTTCTCGTGGCTTTCCTCCCCCACATATCAAAGCCAGATCCGGGCCTAGTACATGGATGCCCAGGCTCTTTTCTCGGTTTGGATGCCCTCACCACCCCACGTACGAAATGCCAGTGTTGTAGAAACGGGCCAAGCCTGGCACAAGCCTGGGCTTGCCAAGTCATAGCGCCCAGGCTTGGACCGAGGTTCGGCCATCCCTGGGGACCAGGGCTTGAGTCTCGGGAGAAGGACGGATAACCGAGCCTTGGTTGACAGATCTGGCCCTGCCTTGGCCGGACATTGGCATGCCGGACCTCGATAACCAAGCCTCAGCCAGCGGTGGCCCGGAGCTTGGTCATTGAGCTCCAGCCGTTGGTATAACTGTAAGGGTTAAGCCGTAAGGGTGAGATGATGAGAATGGAATCATAGGGGTGGAATCATAAGGGTAAAATCTGAAGAGTAAAATTGTAAGGGTCAAATCGCAATAATGGAAAGGGGCGAAAAAATCATAAGACTGACATTCTGAGGGTTGAATGGTAAGGGTGGAAACTTGAGGGTAAAATATTAAGGGTGTAATCGTAAAAAAATGGTGACATTGTAGGTGTTGAAGTCACATGTGACTCGCTAATTATTACGAAAAGAAGAAGAATCGTCATTCAACAGTAATCCTAATTGTTACAATTATTATTGTAATTAATAATAATAATTATTATTATTCATTATTGAATTAATTTACCGATTAAACTGTAGTTGAATCACTGAATATTTCTATCAACTGAATAATAAAACATTCAAGTCGAAAAAAACCGAGATGGAATTAATATGGACGATTTGAAGTAGAGGTTTTACGAATTGCGCGGTAGACTAGTGGTTAGGGCGTCGGATTAGTAGTCGTGAGATCGTGGGTTCGAGCCCACGTTAGGGGGTAATATTTTAAGTTAACAAAATCGGTTTTTCAGCGATGATTGCGTTAGGGTT